AAATGTATTCCAATGCAGGCACTCGATGCTGGTTGTTGCTTTAATACGGTAGGACTGTATTCGGATACGAATTGCAACCATACACACCAAATTTTGAAATCAAGTTCCAGCTAAATGATTTGCTGGTTTGTTTTCAGCAAAAACAAATTTTACTGTACATTCAGCAAACATGCTCATTTTGCTGGAGGCTCAGTGAATTTCAAGAACTGTCAAACTGTTTATCGATTTTCCTTTTGAACTAGGGTAAATGTTGGCTTCGGCACCCATTGACTGTTTTCGGCAACCAAAATTTAAACGTTAATTTCACTATGTTTTCCCATCAACGCACTTCCCTGAATGTGTCCAAACGATTGTTTAGCCTTTCAGCTTCAATCTGATTATATTTGAACGATCGAGCAATCCAGTAATGCTACATTTTTCTTCAAATAAAGCATACGCACTACAAAATGGGGTTGATTTCGAGTTGCCGATAATAGAACAGCTGGTTAACACGCAGTTCTAATGGGAAGGTTGCCGAAGAAAAAGAGGCTGCCGACAATAGTCACACTCACCTGAGAAGTTTGGAGCGTTGTAAAAACGCTTTCAAAACGTTTTGAAAAATTCTGTCGATTGGAATGGATAGAGAAGCAAGCAGCAGATGAATGTAAACAAACAGACACATCATATATGTGCGTGACGCTGAGAAAATGCTAGTAGAAGTGCAGACGCTGCTTAGATTGACGAGAATACGTAAATTCCCCTACATGTTGTTCATGTTGCAATGTGTTTTTCTCGAATTTTTCCTTGCCAATCCTCTGATAAAATTTAAGAAAATGCAGTAAATATTTATTAAACCATTGAATAAATATAAAAATCTTTGTGTTTCGTGAAAAATTACAACTCCCTATTCTTTACATCATCTACGATTAAAGATCAATTGTTCAACCAGCTTATAGTTACATCCTGTCTGCCTTTCATAAAAAATCGTATTTATGATGGATGGTTCATAATCAGCGTTAAAAGGAATATGTAATCAACATAACGGTGTAATAAATTAATGCTATCAAGTGTATGCAATTCTGTAATCTATTTATTTGCTGTTAATATGAAAAGACTAACACATTAAACTAGCAGAAATTCCAGCAAAAAGGTTGTTATTCAACTTTGCTGTACATTCAGTAAAGATTGCTGATTTTTCAGTAATGTGTTGTCAGTTTGACTTCGACCCAAATTGCTGGTCATCCAGCAAAAATATTTTGCTGCAAGGATTGCTGAGCTTCCAGCAGGGAGTTGGTTTAATCATGTTTGTCCTACGATTTTTTTTTTATTTCTACTTATCAGAGAGATTCTATTTATGCCAGACAAGAAAGGGTTTCCGTTCGGCTATATTCCTTCAGCTATAGGAAAGATTCAGGTTCAGCTATAGGAAAGATGATGTTCCTGCGGATGGAACAATTTATTGTTTTGATTGCTTCAATATGTAAAATAGTTCAAACATCTCACCTCAAACAGCAAAAGTAGTGATCCAGCAGGATTGCATTCTCAGTTTGAATCCTTTAAAAATATTGTTAACATTATTTCAGTGCCAACATTTCAAAGGGGCGTAATTGCTTTTGTAAACAATGGCTTTAGCTATCGATTTCTCGCAAATAAAAGTCCATCCCTCCAAATTAACAATGCTAGCTGGTAAAGGAAACATTCATCTACCTGCTTGTGTCATTAATCTTCATTAGTAAGTTTTAATTCACGAGAAATCGATGGCTAAAGTCATTGTTTACAAATACAATTACGCCCCTTTGAAATGTTGACACTGATTTGTTGATGTTTTGCTGGGAGCAACATATTTTTCATTTTGAAGAAATCTCAATAACTTTGCATTTAAAAATTAGGATTTACTTACCATTCTTACCAGCGCTACTTTTCTGTTCATATTTGCTTTTTGGAGGCGAACCAGCCTTAGGCTGAAAACCTCCAAAATAAAGATAAATTAATCAATCAATCATATTTGCTTCCTGTTATTGAATAAAGCGATTACAATAACACGTAAAACATAGTTTTCTTATCACAAACTGGAAAATATATGCAGTTTGACAGATGATCTCAAGTTCATCACCGCTACGATTACAGCGCCGCGGTGGCCGGCATAAACATGGATTTGTCAATACCCAACTAAAAATTTTCACAACGTAAACGCTTTACTCATTTCATTGATACAGCCTCAAGCTGTATTCAAACGTTATACGATATGAAGAAACCTTTACTCAACCTCTATACAAGCAAATCTGGCGAATTTTTTTTTTCTTTATTTTTGTGATTTTTAGCCGTAGGCTAGTTCATCACATAAAAAAAAAAAAAATCTGGCGAACTTACTCAGCTGGCTGTAGAGGAACGGTCGGGAGAAGCTCTTATTGCATATCCATTAACGCTTATATACAGCTGTTATCCTGCTGTTTAGTTGTGTGTGTACTTGAAAGGCGCTTATTCAACCACTTCCCGGTTATCCAATAATCACTACACAGCTTTCTCTTGAAGCCGGGTTAAATACTGTTTACGCTTTTTTATGAAGGAATTTATTGAGTTTATTATGCTGTGAATCAAATTAATCGAAATTAGTTACAAATCATCACCAAATTATTTACCCTACACCGGAGGAACCTGGAATCGAACTCGAGACGACCTCATTGGCAAACCTTGACACTACCAACTGTGCTACGCCAACACTTTGAACTGATGTAAACAAATCAACATTCCCTTCTACAACAAAATCGCTGAGTGGAGGCTTTATAATAGTGCACACTGCACTCTGCTCTCGACTAGTTATAAAAGAGCAGAGTAAAAGCTGTAAAACTGCACACGTCTAAAACCTAGTTGACAGTGAAAATGCTTCCGAAGTTGCTCTAACACAGTTTATAAGCTGAGTACAGGTTGTGTAGTTGTTGAAAAAGCACTTTTGATGTTTATGTTATTCAGCAAGAGTGGTTGGTTGTGTAGAAGCCATCAAATGAGTAACATATTCACTTTGTTAGCTTTGTTTTGCCGCTACAAGTTGAAAGTTGATTAGTGTGTGTATAGAAGTGACATTAGCGTTTATTGGCTGATGTTATTCAGTGCGACTAACAAATTGAATAATGGTTGTGAGAAAGTTGAGTAAACGCTCTCCAAAACTATTTAGCTAGCTTTTGCTTGTAGCTGTATCGGCAGCTTCTTTTCAGCTACTTTACAGTACAACGCTGGAAAAGTTGGCTTACAAAGCTGAAAATGTTAGTTGGGTAAAGAGTCAGTCGTATGAATAGCTTTGAAGAGGAAACACGGCAACATAATTTACATATAAAGGAAAATTCGAAATATGGCCATGCCAGGGCGGTCAGAACACGACACAGTGGTGTTGAGTACTTAGCACTGATCCAAGTAGTAAAGGAAATACGCGTATCTGTCAAAATATAATAAAAAGTATTGAAAATGTAATTATTGTACTTTAATTACAAAATTTCAACAGTAATTAATGGAGTTAAAAAGTAGTTTACGTTCAACATTGTGTAATTAATGCAATTAAAGCAGTAGTTAATGGAATTAATTTAATTACAGCCGTTGCCTGCGTTGGAGTTAAAGGTTATTGCGTGTCCCTAGCAAAACGCCAAACTTCCTTCCCTCTTATATGCGAGTATGCGTTATTTTCACTCTTCTTCTAAATTTTCACCCAGGTTTTTCACGCAAACTAGAGGTATCTGTTTTGCCGGTGAATTGCTTCTGGAAGATTCCGTTCGATAAACACACTTAGAAATACCTATTCTTACGCGTGACGGAATCCATCTTTGACATAAATGATAAGACGTAAACAAACATGTCATGTAAAATTAAGTGCTCCGATACTGAAAAGTTCGAGAGTACGTTTGATTGAGCTGAATTTCACGTCTATTATGACTCAATTTTATGTCAAAATTGACGCTCGTATATGTCAGTCTTAAAGCACTTAAATTTACATCAATTTTTTAAAGTGTGAACGCCTACTCCCAGACGAACTCAAACGCAAAACCTAATTTTTAGGAAACCATCGATCGATTGACTATTTCCAATGCTTGCTCCAGATCATCAAAAACCAGAAACCGTTCTGTTGTCTCCTGATGGCTAGTATAAAACTCGAAGATTATATCAGGAGGAAAAATAATATCCGGTATCCTGATTTGGCCAGATTCACCTTACGGTCTATGGCATGATGAAGGGTGAAAAATCATAAATTTTGAGCCGTCGGACAATACCAGTACATGAGGTTTTGGAAGTGTCCTTTTGTTCCCTATCGAAACCGGTGCCAGGTAGCCTAAATTGCCAAATTCCAGAAATCCTGGATGCCAGGAACCTTCACCTTTTATTTGAGGCCAATAGATTAAGAATCGTTCAAAGTTGGATTTTTGGGGGCGAGTTGCAGCCTTTGTTTTTTTTTTGACCCGCTAATGCACAATGTGTAAGTTTTTTTCTAATGCATTAGGAAAGTTACAATCCAAAAAAAAAAAATCACTCGAAAAAAATACAGCTGCACACGTCAACTTTGCAGCGCTGCCTATTACCTATCTTGCTTTGTATGAAAAAAGTATAAGTCCAAATTAAAAATTAACCCGAATAAATTTGAGCCCATTTTTTTCTTATTCTTGCGAAACACATGATTGTTTATTCTGGTGAACAAATACATTTTGCAAACAGCGCCATGACCATTCTCTGACTCAATCAAATCAATACACCCCAGTTGCAATCTTGTATGAATATTGCGACTAATTTGGTCAAAATTTACGAATACCATAACTTCTCCTTTACCGCCCCTGATATGAGACACCCCCTTAAGAAGAGATTTGCGCACGCCTATGTTCAATAATAATGATGCAAAATTTATGCAATAGCATTCTATGGAAGGCTTGTTTCTTTCATTAGATGCAGTGGTGTAAATTATTACCTCTTTCTTTCCATTTCCCGTTTACTCAGAGTACAGTACATCCTACATTTACTATATCCGTTGTTAATTTTCTCAACAGGAAAACGGAATTGGCCTCCATAGAAACGATCGCTATCGAAGCACAATTCAGAACGGTTTCGCGACTTACAGCGGTAACATGGTCACTTCTACGCCGCGATCGCGCTACAATGCCACCGATACCACCGGACGTGGAATGACCGCAGGGTAAGTGATATGAGTATAACCACTTGTTGCAGCGATCTGATCTCCTTTTGTTTCCTCACAGAGTTTCTCAATCTAGTCTCAAAAGCTCAAACCCCTTTGATGATGACGAAATGGATGATAGCGTATCGCTGAACGATAGCTTCAACAACGGAACGCTGCGGCAGAGTATGACGAGGCAACGAAAGAAGCGGCGAGCACCACCACCGCCACCGGTACGAAATTTGGTAATACATGCATTCTCTCGTAACATTTGAAATGGACCTTTGATCTTTTGTTATCAAATCTTGTAAGGCCCTTTTCGTGTGAAGTGAAATACGCCCTCTCAAACCTTGAACACTATCGGGAAGGGTTGTTGGTTTGGGTGAACGTACTTCGGTCCGTACGAAAGGGCCTTTCAAGTTTTCATTACAAATGCTGATAGGCCCTTTTCAAATGTTACGCGAGTATTGTTTTTTATTGTTGATTTTTAAAAGGTTGTTCATTATGGAATTCATAATTTTCAGGCAAACACTTCCGTTGATTCAACGCATACCGTCCTTGCCACGCGCTTGAAGATTGACGAATCACCACCACCAGAAGATCCTGAAGATGTGAAAAATCTTACCAATCTAACGGCTGAAATCGAATCATTCGTACGTACTACTTCTGATGACGAAGTGAACCGAACGACCACAACACAACCCAATCAATTCGAAAACCTGGCATCGACCAACGATAGTAACAACAACCACGTGACGGAGCTTGTAATAGTTGAAAGAAAAGAAGAAATTGTTGAAAAGGTGAACGCCACCCAAACTGATAGACAAGAACAAGATCTATCAACAGTTGATGGCAGCATAAAGTCTGCTGAACCAACACCAACAAGCGAAATCCCAGAACCCGTGGAACACATGTCGCGAATAGAGGAACTCAGAATAGAAGAAACAGAATCAAAACCCGTAGCTCCCCCTCAGCCTTCACCGCGCTCTAAGTCATCTCCTCCACCAATCCCACAGACACCGCCCGTCGTCGAAGGAGAAGACCTGGAAGGCATCGCTCTTCCTGAAACTCCCGTTCCAGCCCGGCGCCTCAACAAAAACCGCAATCAGATCCGCCAAACCAATGGAACCGCACTTCGAATAACCGAGTCTTCAGATTCTGCAACGGCTAGCACAACCGAGGAAGAAGAAAACATGGAATCCAAAGCGATCAAATCCATCAACTATGAGTTCCAGTACAAGGTAGAACCAATCAAAACAGAAATCGACGAAAAAATTGGCACAGCTCGTCTGATGATAAGTGAGTCAACCGGTGATATCAGCTCCTTTCAAAATACCGGTACTGAACGGCGACGTTCGGTCCGTGACATCATCGAATCAATCAATAAAAGCCAGAGTCTCCTGAAGGTCAACCATGAATCTACTGGCATTTTGCACTCTGCTCAATCGAATGATAGCGTCAATCGAAACATTAGAGAGCTGAACGAGCGTGAAAAGGAGATTCAACGAATGCTCCACGAAATGGAAGCCACCTTGAGCAACGTTCAACCCGAGCCTCGCCAAGTGTCGTCCGTTCCGCCACCGATCAACAAACGTGGCTCCTACTACGATAACGTGCCGGAAGGTGATGAGAACCTTGATAATTTGGAAGATCGTAACAATCTTCTGAGCAAATCGGCGTTACGTTCCAAGAAGAGTCCGACCAAGTCGCTTGGTATCGAACAGTCAGACGATGTGCAATTTCAGGATTGCATCGACTGGAACCCATTGCCCAAGCCGCGGCGCAGTCGGCATTTTCCCGACTCACAAGCTAATCAGTCAACGTCAGCAGCGGGAGGTGTTTTGACAGTTATCGATCAAAATAATAACGGCAATACTAATCAGAGTTAGCTCTTCAGTGCACAGAGGCAGAATATTGTTTTATGGTGCAATGAATGAGAAGTCTTCAACTTAGCTTAGTTTATTATTTATTCAATCGGCCAATATTGACGCATGGTTTCCTTACACACGCCGTCAGTTCTAAGTTTAGGTGCTTGACGCTGGAAGCAAGTGTTGGTGTAAATTATTGTTACAATGTTGATTCAAATAAATGTGTAGACAAGAATAAGTTTGAACCTTGCTTAGGCTACTTGAACACAGAGAAATCCTATGTTTCCCAAATGCGTCGGAAATTACGATTTCAAATACCTATCACTGATAGATTACGTCCCGTAAAACGGGGTGAATGATCAAAGAGGTCAAGTTGATCACAACACCGTTCAATTTTCTTCATAATTTAGATGTGTGTGCTGCTTACAACCTATTTCGACGAATACGATTCTCATTAAATAAAATCAACAAATTATCGCTGCCTTTTAAAAACAATATTTAACTCATCATCAATATAAAGCTAGGGGAAATGCAGGTAATGTCGGCCTAAGTGTCCCTAATTTGGGCCCATACATAAATTCAGCAATCGACTAAATTTTCAATAGCAACCAAAAATATCCATAAGTAACGCGTTCATCTAGATAAAATTGATAAATAACAGATTTTTAGCGATGGGCCCAATCTTAGATCCATAGGCCAACATTAGAGACATTTCCCCTACTTAGTGATTATTAGATAATCGATAAAAGGTTGTATATGCGCCTTTCAAGTTTACACACAACTAAATAGCAGAATAACAGCTATGTAAAAGCGTCAAAGTATATGCAATAAGCGCAATAAGGGCTAATCCAGAAAGCCAAACGTAGCTGACTGAGTTTCTCCAGATTTGCTTGTATAGTATTTGAATACAGATTGAGGCTGTATAAATGAAATTAGCAAAGTGTTTACGTCACGAAAAATGTTAGTTTGGGTATGGAAACACGAAAATAATTGTTTGAACAAGTTTTCATTTAAATCTCTGTTGTAGCTTTGGGGATGCTCGTAACGTCTATAGAACACATTAGTTGCCTTTTCTGGCGCAAAGGCGTGTTTGATGACCGAATATTTTATTTACGAAAAAAACAAAACAGTGAACTATATTGCAAGAGCAAATTTTCATTACGTCGAATGTAACAAAGGTAAACAAAGTCGAGCTATCAGTGTCAATCGATTCTCCTGCTATTACACTATATACTGTCCGAATATAGGATCAAATCCCATTTTTAAATTTATTTACCAGTCAAATTGCTTTTCGACGTAATCACCTTCCGATCAAAATAGTTTTCGATGTTACTTAAGTCACCCAATTTCTATGGAGATGCCGTTTGACTTAAGTAACAGCGCTGAGAAACCCGTGAAAAGTGTACGTTCGTCGTTTCGCTTTCTCATTATTAAAGTGAATAAATCGAACTGTTTGTTGCTAAGATGATTTCGGTGGTCCTAAAATGATGAATGGGCTGCACGTAAGGAGACGTAATTGATAATTCTCCCGCATATCCTGGTAAATACACTTTGACTTAAGTAACAATAGGGGCCACCAAACGACGTATAATAACTTTTGACTCAAAAACCAGTATTTTTTAGCATGAAAGCTAGCGATTTGCATTTGTATGATTAAAACCCTGCTAAATATGTTAAACATTGCTATCACTATGAGATTATATGTGTTTACTTGGAAATAGGAATAACTTTTCGGTCATCAAAACAAAACCTTATTTTTCTCGGATTGGTGCGAATGTTACTTACGACATAATGAAAATTTGCTCTTGATTGTTACTACAGTAGGGTTAACTACCCCATTTCCGGCCTATTAAGCACAACCCGCACTTAGTCTTTCTTAATCTAGCGCAGTTTAGCACTAAACGGGATGTTATTATTACTAATGGCTTGCACATTAATTTACCTTTCTGTACATACCGTAAGATTTGATAAAGAGAAACCAATCGTTGAGATATTGTCAAAAGTCTAACACTGCTTCTTGACGCCAAACTCGGCCTACGGATTCTAAACTGGGCCTAAAGCATTGAAATGCCATTGAAACGCCAATGAATTCACTTCGGCCTATCGGATGAAGATAAAACATGATTCGGTCGGAGCGCTTCTTTTGTTTTTTGGTATAATGGGTGCAAACCTTCATACCACGCGTTCTCATTGACTTCGTTCGGTAGCTTATTAACTAAAGTATCGTACCATACGCATAATTGACTGAATTGACGCATAACTCTGAAATCATGGATTTATTTGAAGTTTTCTGCTCGATAGGCCCAAAATGGGCGATTATATATTCCAAGATCGTATCTTCCGGGGAACCACAACTTTGCTAACGAGCATTTCTATGTGCTATACATCCGGCAAACTTTCTTGCGTATTTGTTGATAAAATTTCACCTGACTGTTATATAATACAGTCAACTTTCGCTCGTTGGGCTAAACCCATGGCCCACTTAGTGAAAGGCTTTCGTTAGTTGGGCTGAGCTGTCAAAGCTGAAAATTGCTTGCGGATACATCGATTGTCTATTATCACCAAAATCGTTTCGCAACTATCCAAATTGTTCATCCATGAGCCCCTTGAAAATGAATCTGCAATGTCAAAAAAGACGTTTGACTTCGATTTAGGTGGGCTACAGCCCAACTAACTGGAGCTCAACTAAAACGTAGCCCACTCATAGATTATCTTTTACAAGTTTTCTGCTTTCCGATTTATCCCAATAATCGAACCTTGAGACACATCAAGCACAGACAGCCAAGCCAAGCTCGACACAACGCCTCATCTTCTAGATTGGTAAAATGTTATCCACGTGGCATGGGCGCACTGATATTGTAGAAGAGTTTCGTCTAGTAAAATTGCACAAAAACACTTCATTTTGCTTGGTTCCTCCAAATAGAAACCAGGATTGGATTGGATTGGATTGGATTGGATTGGATTGGGTTTCCAAACAAGCACACCCACTGTTCACCGAAAGGGTTGTTGCCATTTCCCAACCTGTTTGGCAACTGGCGGTGTAGCATAGAGGTAACTCTAAGACCAGAAGGTCCCGAAGAAACGTGCTCGCCGGCACCGGTGGTGTAGTGGTAAGCGTGACTACTTTCTCACCCCAATGGGTCTGGGTTCAATCCCAGTCCATGTCGGTGGAATTTTTCTGAGGCATAAAAATCTCTGGTCACGTCTTCCTTCGGAAGGGAAGTAAAGCCGTTGGTCTCGGCCCATGTGTGTTGTGAATGGGTGCGATATCCTACGAAGATGTGGAAGCTGCCTTCCTGCACATTCGATTGCCGTCAATGGATGGCAATCGATGTCCGTCGGTGATTGGCACTAGATTGCAGAACAGAGACCAACGTTAAATAAAGGAAAGAAAGGAAGAAAGAAGAAGAAACGTGCTCAACTTTTTGGCTCAGCTCTGGTACTCTCTTTGGTCCCAAGCTAATCGATGCACCCCTCGAAACATAGTAAAATCCACGAACCCCTTATTTTATATATTAAACTTTCCTAGCGAATCAAAACAAAGTGTAGTACTGTAATTTATTCTAGAATGGGGTTCGTTAATCGTTTTGCTTGGGACCAATAGGCTAGTCAAGTAGTGAGCTAATTTAAAATCGTTAGTTTCGCATTGATTGTTGATGATACACTCTTTGCACACTGTCAAAGATCATTGCACACAAAATCAACTTTGTTCAAATCAAAACCAAAAATACTAGCATATCTGGTGGCTGATGGCACAAGCTTCTAAGACAATTCTATTACAGCAAACCACATTATTTGAATTGATTTCTTCGTCAGTTAGTCGTCTGTTACTTCGTTTGTGCTAAAACTAAAGAAACTTAATTGGATAAAGAGGCGACATCTTATCCATTTGACAGGTCTTTTGCTTGATTGGAATAACTTTTCCTATGACTTTGACAGATAATCGATTGTTCCTATTTTGACATGGACAACCGGATTATAGTCGCTATATTTATAGTCTTGCGGATAGTATTTCGAGCTATCAAAAAGTGGAACCAATTCAATATATTGTAGACCAACAATTAAAAATCGTTTCTTTCAGTAAAAATTCATATCACAAAAATCTCCTTATTTTTCTTTTGGTAGTTTAATTCATATATTTAAAGGAAAAAAAAATTCGTTTATTCTTTTGGTTTGCCAAATCCGAACTGCCGTGCCTTCCGCTTAACCCCTTCCATTAAATTTTGCATAGTGGTCTCATCGACCTTATTCGTCGCCGAACGCCAGTTAGATTTAAACTGCTGCTCGTTTTCCATGGATACATTAGATTTTTTTTTCTTTTTTGGGATTCCGTTTGACCAAGGCCCAATACCGTTCGATAGGGCGGAGTTCTGGGCTGTTGGGAGAGTTATGGTCTTCGGCGTTGTTCGCATCGTACCACTCGATTGCCTTTTTTTCCATAGTGGCAGCTCGCCAAGTCCGGCCAGAACAGCACAGGTCTATTATGTTGCTTTAGGAATGGTAGCAGCCGCTTTTCCAGACACTCCTGGATTGATCTCTTGATTGATAGTCCCCGTAGTAATGAAAATACAGTTTTTTATACCGCACGTGCATATGGCCTGCCAGACGAGATATTTTTTTCGGGAACTTCGATATTTTGATGGTTTTGAAAATTTCAGTTACCTTCCCTTTTCCTGATGATGCAAACTCCTGTCCCGGTAGCTGCTTGAAGTCCGCCTTCACATAAGTTTCGTCGTCCATGACGACACAGTCGAACTTTGTGAGCAGATTCGTATACAGCTTTCGGGACCGCTGCTTTGTCAACGTGTTTTGTTTGTAATCTCGGTTCGCCACCTTCACCTTCTTAAACGTCAACAACCCGGCTCGTTTTTTGGCCCGCTGCACAGTAGTATGGGAGACATTGGGCTTGCCAGCGACGTCCCGGATGGAGAGGTTAGGTAGGATTCCACTTATATTCCACCGCCACCTTCTTCGTCGTCACTGCCTCGTCCGGATTACGATTGCCACCGCTTCCAGGCTTCCTAGCGGTCAACAGTCGCTCCCCGAACACTTTTAACACGTTTGTCACGGTCGATTTGGCCACATCCAGCAATTTTGCCAACTTGGTGTGTGAGAACGTCGGATTCTCTTGCAGCGCGAGCAAAATTATGACACGCTGCTCCTTTTACTTGGACGTCATTTTGAAAACTGGAGAGCAAACGGTGAAAACTCATCATAGCAACCATTGTATATACACT